ATGCCCACATACATGCCCCTCAGGGGCTGCACCAGTAGGAGAAATGCCAACAATGTCTTGCTTTTGCAGGGAAGACTTTCCTTTGTGGGAACTATATAAAGGCAACTCCTAGGAATAAATGCACTTAGTACTGAAATGTATTATCCAGTTGTTTGTGCTTGTCTCCTGCATCACTTCTCAACCTCCCACCTGCCCATTTCCAACTGTCCCTCACTCCTCTCTGAATTTATAGTACTGTAGTAGAACAAAATACTGTGCAAAACATCAGGTATACAAGCATTTATTAAGCTGATGGTTTCTGGGGAGTGTCAGATCTTGTCCAAAATATTACTTAGGTGGTAGCAACAACTTATCTTTCCTGGATATATTTTTAGGAGCAGCTGTTCTTCTATTATCCTTCTTGGGTAGCTAGTCCATCCACTCTCTCATGATGAAGGGGCACATTGTAGTTAATACAGGTCTTTGTGTATTTACCACTGCCAAGACTAGAAGAGGCTTTTATGGCCATTTATCCTGCTTCTTGTATAAGACAGATTGATTGCAGCATGCCAGCAAGCCAACACCTTTTGCAGCTTTAGTAATGTCACTGAATTTACTAGAACAAGATGCTGAAAGTTAGGTCCTAAATCTAAGGCCATTATAGATGATGGAAATCATCGGCAAGACTGAAATGCACCATCTGCAAGAATAACTGATGGGATGCTGCCATCTGCCCTAGCCTCAGTCATTGCTGTGATCCACAGACTGCTTGGTCTAAGGGGGTTATGTTCCTTCAGACCAGAAATAAAGGGTATTTTTTGTGAGGTTTGGCTGTTGACACATGCTTACAGCTGAAAAATAAGAAAATGTGGCTGAGAGAGAACACCTGGGGCTAAAGGTTTAACAGCATGAAGCTGTGTTGGGGTGGGGGGGTTTAGGTTAGATATCAGGAAAAGGCCCTTCTCCTCGGGGCTTTTGGGGCTCTGGGATGGGCTCAGCAGGGAAGTGGTCATAACTCCAAGTCTGTCTGAGCTGAAGAATTGTTTGGACAATGCTTTTAGGCTCAGGGTGTGATTCTTGGGGCTGTCCTATTCAGGGACAGAAACTTGGTAATCTTTGTGGATCCCTTCCACCTCAGAATATTCTATGTGGCATTATGGACATTGCAGGGGAATCATGTCTCTTCAAATAATCAGGTGAGGACAATTCTTCATGATCGTAGTTTGAAAATGTTAATTTACTTTTCTTGAGAGAAGGATGAAAAAATTTGTGCAGACAACTTTTTCAGTATCAGTATTTTCTGTGTGTGTGTCACTATTTCTGGAAGATTTTCATCGTGTCAGGCAACTAGGAGCTCTCAGCTCTGAGACACTGAGTCAGCATCCCTGCCAAATCCTTGGCTAAAGCTCTATTTTGAGTTATTGATCTTCATATTTCCATCACTTGATTCAAGCTGGAGTTTTTTCTTTCTTGGCCCTGTGCAAGGCAGAAGGGAAGAGGAGGCAGGATGTGTCCTTCATCAGCCAAGTGGCTGAAACTCTACATGGGAGCCAGCAGTTCCCTGGCATTTCAGAGTGCAGGGCAATACCCCTTGCTAGGGCTCACTTTGCTTCTTCCTTGCTCCAGCCACTGCCCAAAATTCCTTCTGCATTGTAAAAAGCTACAGTAAAGGGGCATGTAAAGGAAGCCCTTAGCTGCCATCCAGGGCAACCCAGATGGAGCCCAGTCATGCAGGCCAGAATGCAAGATCAGGAGAGCTCCCAAGAATAAAGTTACCCTTCCCCAAAGCTTCCCCTCCACATATTACCTATCTGACACTCCAATTAAAATCACATTTACTCTTCTCCTCACACATTGTGCCTCATCAAAGGCCTGGTGAGAGATTTAGAGGTGTGAAAGTCCGGTGAGGCTCAGTGCAGGGTGTCTGACTCACATGCAAGTACCACTTACTATAACCAAAGTTTCATACAAGAGAAGATGGTACAAACTATCAGATGGGCTACAAATCTACTTTTTGTAGTCTTCATTTTCTAGTAGATCAAATAATTATATTTTTTATAATTTTTTTTTTTTTAATAAGCCTCAGGCATACATGTTTATTGGCTCATCACTAAGCTGAGAACTTGGAGCTGGGAACAGCTGCATATTATCTCTTGAGGTGTTGCCTTCAGATGTGGGGGGACTCTGTCACCTCCACAAGGAAATGTGAGTATGATACTTACATTCCCCGTGAGGAAACTGTGTGCTGTCTTACAAAGAGCAGAAGTGTAAAGGAAAGAGCAAGCCACAAAAGCAAATGTATGAGTGCAGCGCGCTGTGGCTTCTGCAGTGGAAACAATGCTGCAGAGAGAGAGAGAGTGAGGATGTGCAAAGACACAGCCCATTGTTGTGGCTGTGCTTGGTCCTCTGCTCTCCTGTGTGTCAGAAGATGGGGATGTGTAGCAATGCAATGGGCTGAACAGGGCTCCAGCATCCTCAGCTTGATGCTAAGGACAGGCCTAACTGAACCAGGCCTAGCAGCACTGTGCTGGTACACATCTGCTTTTCTATCACTGCCCGGGTTTTCTAGCTGACTTTGTTTAATCCAGTGGTGTTACTTCCTGTGTGAATAGAGAGGGTGTCTGCAGCGAGGAGAAGCATGTGAGAGCACTGCTATCTACAGCTCACCTTGTCCTGCCCAGCACAGCTTGGGCCAGTGTCTGGCTGTGGCCACACAGAGCTCCAGCCACAGCTCTCTCTGTGCCACTCCCTCCACCTGGGAGGGCATTTCTGGCTGGTGCAGGGGCTGCTCTGGCAGTGCTCTCTGCTGTAGCTGTTCTCAGGATGTTTATGCCATGCCACATCTCTGAAGGTACATGCTGGCTTCTAGATTTCCTCTGTGCCTGCAGCCCAGAGCTGCTGTTCTTTCCAGAGACACCTTCAGGCACTTTCTCCTCAGTGCCCTCTCTGGGGCTCTCCTTGAAGGGAAAACAGAGACATCAGTGCAACAACTTAGAGTGCTTTCTTCCAAGTAACATCCAAAAAAATCCTTCTTCTAAAATGGGGATCAAAGCCCAGTCAGGACTGCAGCAAGATGTTGCTTTGCTTTTCAAGAGGGAAGGCTAAAGCTGGCAGAATATTGACATTTCCCCACTTGTCATCGGGCAGGAAGACTGAGCTTAGAGACATGGGCTGCTTTGTCTTTCTCCAGCTAGGTCTGATGGTGCAAGAGGTTTCAGAGGCTGCTTAAAAAAGGGGCTGCTTTTGGGACAAGCCATTCCAGGATCTCATGGGGAATTCTTGCTGCAGGTAAGTGATGCAGGTTTGGCTGTGCTTGTGGCTTTTGTTACTCAAAATCTTGCAAGTGGATTTTGTGCATGTGCACCAAGTACTCAGGAATACCAAGGCCTGGTGTCACTTCTGTGGTGTCCAGTTACCATAGGACATCAGTCATTGAGCCCTCAGCTTTCCTCTCAAGTGCTTCTTCACTGCTCACAGTAAGGTCATTTTTGAACAGACAGTTTATATCCTTTATGAATGGGTTCTTGCTCCTGCCTACCTGTTGCTCCAACAGCAACCAGGATGTTTGGTGAGCTGGTTTGCTGGACTATAGGGGCCTTTGGTGTGACCCATTTCAGCTGTGAGTTTAGGAGATTGTGTGTGGCATGTGGGCAATGCCAAACTGATTAACTGGAGGCAGTGGTCTTCACTTTTACACCTGGCTCTACCACTAAGAAGCTTTGCCTGTCTTCTCTCTCTCACATTCACACAAGCACACATCTTTCCATTTGTATTTCATTTTTTCCATGACAATTCCCACCCCAGGGTGCTGGCAGTGTGAACATGCCAACAAACAGACAATGTGCAGGGGTACCCTGGAAGCAGGAGGTGGCTTTGAGAGATGTTTCCCTGAAAAAGAATGGAGACAAAGTTGAGCAGAGCATGGACAGTGGTTTCACCATGCTGGGCCTCCTTCTGCTCTGCTTGATGGATCCAGCAAAAAAGCCTCCAAAAAACTGAGGAGAAACCGGGGTGCTGCCTTTGCCCCAATTTTTTTGGGTGCTGGGGCTGGAAGCAGATGTGTCCAAGAGTTTAACACAGCTTGCTTGGCTGAGGAGATACCCAAATGTGGCAGTCCTTGCCCTCAGCTTGTTTCTTGCCACAGAGGGTGGAGGTCGGGCACAGAAATGTGATCTTGCTGCTGTTGCTTCCTCTCTCCTTTTGTGTATGCCTCCTTTGTGTGTTCTTTGGAAGGAAACAGTAGCAGAAAAAAGGAAGAAAAACTAGGTTTTCCTGCAGGGAGTGTTTTTTTTTTTTTAACCTCATTAATACCAGTAAAAAATTATTAAGCTGGAGAAGGGGAGATGTCTTACAAGATCTTCCTTTAACCTCAAGGAAAAGGAATGACATGAACGAACAAGATTTATCTACTATTGTACAGTTCTAGTGCCACAGATTTTCTTTTGTCTTCTTTCTTGGCCTACATCCATGACAAAAAGCTGGAAGATTTCAGTGGCTGCTGAAGCAGAGGAATTATGCTGATGAGGGTAAGACTCAAAATCCTCACCACTCCATCTGTTTTGTATTGGAATCGGGAATAAGGACTTTATTAGCTTCTCACATGATTTTGGACCTAGCTCCTCACAGCTTCTTTCCTTGCTGTCTTTCCCACATCAGCCAGCTTCGGAGCTGGTTTGTGGCTCGATCAAGGCAGCATTCTCACCCCCTTCCATGCTCATCCCTCTCACAGCTTGCTGGAGTGGCTGGCCCTGCCTGCAGGAAGCCTTTGTGCCTCTGGCCAGCCCCTCATACACCAGATGTTGATGCCAAGCTGATCCTGATGGTTTCCAAGGGAAGTGTGTCTCCTTTTCAAGTGTTGTCCAACAGCCACCTGCTCCTCTCTGGGGCTCCTGGGCTTGCTCTCTCCTTGCTGCTGCTGAGGCTGTGGGGGAGAATTAGGATTCCTATCACTCCCCCACCCAAAAACTGCATCCCTCCCACTAGGATGGTGGCATGTGGGTGCTGGAACTGAGCTCTTCAGGTGAGCATTGAGGAGGACAAGGGCCCTATCTGTCCCTCCAGCTGGGTGGACAAACCTCCAGGGCATTCCTGCATTTTAGTGCCCATTTTCTTTGTGTCTCCATGTTGCCTCCATGCAGACAAAACACTCTGTTGGGGCTTATTTCCGCCTCTGCTAGAAATGAGAAGTGCTGGAGGAGAGGAGGAGGGCACAAAGGCTGTGCCGACATGTCCCATCACTGCTTGCTCACAGCAGAAAACCTTCTCACCTGCCAGGAGCTATCACTAGACAAGGCAACACTGGATGTTTTTTGACCCTGAAAATGAACTTTAGGAGGATTTTCCTAGTCAAGTGCTTGCTGCTTTTATTTCCCACTGTAAAATGTGAGTTTTTCTTACAGTTTTTTTTTTTTTTTTCTCTTTTGGGCTGATGTTAAAATTGTATTTTAAAGCATTTACAACTTGGTGGGCTGCTACTGATAAGAAACTTGTTCCACTTTTCCAATGAGTGAAGACATCTGGGTTATTGCTATTATTATTTGATTTAATTTTCAGCCAGGGGGAGGGCAGGACCTGAGTTTCCTATTCCAGTTATAATAATAAGCTGTAAAGAGTTTTGGTTTTAAGTTAATGAGCCTTAATTTGACACATGTGTAATGAGAAATGTCAGCATACAGTTTGGTTTCTGCCCTTGAGGCAGCTTGTACTACATTAGAGATCCAGTTCACTGTGCATTATCGCATATAATTTCCTTTTCTTATCAAAGATGTGCAAATCTTTTGAAAGTACAATTTATATTCTTCCATAAATATTAAAAGAGTGATATATTTCAGTGTCCTCAGTGGAGCTGGAGTTTAAGATGTGAAAACAGCAAGCAACTACATATATTTTTTATATTTTGCATATTATTGTTCTCATTATTTTTTAAAATATTAATCTAAAAACTTAATTAAGGTGTTAACTCATAGATTAGAGAAGGTTTTAAGAGATGGAGACAATACAAGCCTGCATAATTTTTTTCCCCTCGGTTTCATTCCACTAAGTTTGCATGTATGACTGTTTAATGCTATGCTTTTCCTTCAGAACAAAATTAATAGATAAATAAGGATTTCTTCTTTTTATGTACACAATCTATAAAACATCTTCTCTAGCAGAAATAAGGATTATTTCCTTGAATGGAAAATTGTTTCAGAGACTTCCTTCTCTAAAATTACTATGGGAGCTTTTTCTTTTAACTCTTTCTTGTGACTGTGAGTGAGCTGTAGTCTCTCAGTTAAAGCCTTTCTGCCCCTTGGAGCACATTTTAGTTGGCATTTTTATCAGATGTGTTGTTTCATTAGCTAAACAGATTTTTAGTATCATACGTGTGGGATACTCAGCTTTCCACTAGAAAGACTGTGGAGATCAGATCAATATCTAGAGATGCCTCTGGTCCACAGAGATGTCATTGAATTATCCTTGAAAACTCAGATTACTTTCTTTCTTTACTTCCAGAGAGAAAATCTAAGTAGTGTCTGTTATGCAAAGAAATCCTATTACTATCTCTAAATACTTGTTCATGACTGAGCAGAAGCAAGTATCAGAATTCAAATATCTGGGTATAACATGTAGTGTCATCTGTGTGGGGCATAGCTGCTTCTAAGGCTGTTTAGCTGATAGCTTTATTTCAGGACATTTCATTAGATATATCAAATACCTTGCAAGAAAGGCAATGCTGAAAGAACAACCTCTCTTTAGAGGTGGTGAATTGCCAGAAGCACTACAGCATTAATGTTCTTGTTCAGAGGCATGCTATTTTAGTTCTCTGATTATCTTTAATATTGTTAGTTTAATGAAATAGCCACTGGGTTTCAGTTTCCCCTCTGTGGTGCCATTTATCATTATCCTAGATACAAGGAGTGAAGGACTGTAATAAAAATATGCATAAACACAGGTTTATTCTCTCTGTGGGGAAAAAAGTACTTAAAATACATAAAATTAGGGCAGAATCAGCTCTGTTGATGGGAAGGGAAATCTCCTCCTGCTGATTGGCTTCACCCTGTAAATTGAGGAGGAATGAACACGATAAAATGACAAACTAAATAAGCTGTGGCTCTGGGTGAGCTTATCCCACTTGACAATTGCACACAGATTTCGCCCTCCTCCTGCAGGTTTGTCCACCTGCCACGGGGCTGGGGACAGTTCCTTACTTGAAATGACCTCCCAGCAAAGTTTCCCAAGTCCTGGCTCACCAGAAATGGGGCCTGCAGAGACGGTGGCTGAAGCAGCCTGGAGCAGGCAGAGCACCCGGGCACTGCTCCAGGAGTTCATCCTCCCACTACTGGAAATACAGAGGATGTTTAGTGAATATCTCCTTTGGCAGCCCCATGCTCAGGTGCTTCTCAGTCCTGACACTCCCTTTGGGAAGCTCCTATTCTTCTCTGTTCTGGAGAAGGGACCTGGAATCAAAGGAAGAGAAGATTTTTGAGGTTTGTTTTGGCAGTAGCTTTTCTTGTAATGACTCCTGCAGCCCCTCAGTTGACAGGATGCTGGTGGCTGTGTCTTCCTGCCTTACCTGCCCCATCAGGATCCCATGCTAGAAAAATCAAGTGGATACATTCCAGTGGGGCAGAGTAACTGGGATAGGAGGCAGGGGGGGCATTGCTGTGGGTGTGCCTCCAGTTCAACGCCTTACACTCACAGCTTGAAATGGGCTACCACTATTATCATCATTGCTGTCACTGGGGTGGCTGAAATGATTCTGCTGTTCAGGGCTGTGACTATTTTTGCTGTCTGCAGTAATGCTTGCAGTGATGGGCTCTCTGGGTGCCAGCCTGTGCCATGTGCAAAACACAGAAGGGACCTTCTTTTCAGGAAGGGCTAAGTTCATGTTAAACTGAATGGGAGGCCATGAATCTTGGCATCCAGAGTCACTCCAAGTAAGTCAGCCAAGGTATAAATTCAGCTTTTGAAAGCTGGGCTCTTAGCTTTCTTGCCTCTCAGAATTAAATTGGATGCTGGCATTTATCTAAAGAACAATCAAGAAATATTTTGGAGTAGGGGAAGAAGATGGCATCAGTGAAGCAGAGGGGCTTAGGCAGCTCAGGAAAGGGTGGCATAGCAAATGACAGCCTTTTGGGTGGCTGCTGGAGACAACTGAGGGGCTGGCTGTGCTTCCCTCGACAGGCATCAGCACCAGCTGGATTTACAAGGCAGTGAATGAGACAGCTCTTCTCAGCATCACTGCTCCTGGGAACATCTATGAGGCAACATGGACTAGAGGGGGACAAAGGCTGGTTCAGATCAAAGATAACAAAACTAAGCACTTTGTGAACAAGGAGCAGTGCAGGTGTGCCATACTCCGGAATGGGACTCTGCAAATCCAGCGTGTGGAGAAAGTGGACAGTGGAAACTACACGGTGATGGTTTATCAGAAGGATGGAAAACTGAAGGCGGAAGAAAATGTCATATTCTTTGTTCAGGGTGAGTTTTTGCTTTTCCAATACCATGCCCATGACTGCTGAACAGGACTTGCTATTGTCTGCTCTCTCCCACAGCCCTCCTTTCTGATGAGGAAGGGGTGACTTCTGTAGGACATACCTTTTTCTTCCTGCCTCTGACAGCAGCCTGCCTCTCTTCTCCCTTCTTTTGCTCTGATTGATGGCCTCAAATCCCTGGCTTCTTTATGGCTCCCCTGTTTGTCAGCCAACAGGTTTCCAGCTGTGCCCAAGAAAGCAGCTGGGAACAGGTTCACACTGACAGCAGGGTGGGGGTGGTCGGTCCTACTGCAGCACCACAAACAGTGCTAAGACCCTAAGCTGGGGTGGGACCCTGAGAGGGGACTGGGCCCCCAGCAGCATCCTGCTTCCAGAAACCTCTGTTAGGACCACAGCAGCCTATGGGGTACAGTTGTGGCTGATGCACTGTGGGTTTCAGGTATTTCTGGTGTCATTTTATGGGTACTGAGTTATGACTTTTGTTCTCTGGCTGCTGGTCCAGCAAGTTGAGCAACTTGTGTTGCCAGCCCCTTGAGGAGAGCTCAGGAGTCCAGATGGCACTAAATGCCTTCATTCAGGCAATGGAAACCCACTCCATTTTTGCTCTAACATACAAAATATCCAGCAGTCACCTCCCCTGAGATAAACCACAATAGGAGCTGAATTTGCAGTGGAAGAAGACTCCTGCACCCTATCCTTGCATAGCACAACACAACAAATATGAAGACTGTGCTCTTTGAAGCACAGTTAAGCACACACCTGGGGATTTCAGCTGCTTGGGCTCAAAGTATGAGGGCAGTCTCCATTCCTGTGCTGTATCTTGTCCTAAAAGATCAGAGCAGTAGCAGCCCAAAGGTTTTGGGGTGAGTAGGGATGATGGAGCTGGCTATTCTGCTCCTTAATAACTGCTATGGCATCTCCAGGCCTCTAAGCTGTAGGACAGCTTGGTTTTTTTCCCACAATAAAGGGATAGATAGCTTTGTTCTGTCCTTCTTCAGTCACCATGCACACCTTTGCCAACATCTTGAGTTTGTGGCACCAGCTGGGATTACAGAAATGATGCCTTATTGAGGCAGCAATGACAGCTGGAATGGTTTTAGCAGGGTTTCTGTGCAATGGGAGGCCCCGTGTCTAACAGCTGCTGAGCAGTGAGGGTGTCTCACTGCTTTGGGAGCTATTACTGTAAACAGATTCAGGAAGTCATCAGGGCCTGATGCTTCTTGCTCATGTCTGAAGCCACTCTACTGTCATTGGGGTGTCCTCATTTCAGGTCAAGCTGCAATGATGCAGCTGTGTGCTGCATCATTTCCTCTGCTGTGCAGCAGAGTGTGTTACCTCTGACACATGGTTTTGGAAGTCCTGTAGTAATTCTTGTATCCTATAGTAATTTGTCAGCCAGACTGGCCCTTTGTTACTAGGGCTGGACAAACAGTTGTTTTAAAAAAATAAAATTGTCCCAATGATATCCTCACACAACTCCAGCACCTGGACTCCAGTGTTTCCCACTGGAATGTTTCCCTGAATAAAAGGTTCCAGTTTGCAGAGGGGTGTCACTATTGAGGCAAGATGGGAATGAAGAGACTCTGACTCAGAAGGTTGTGAGAGTAAAGACTCCGGTTTATTTAAAATACACTGCTCTTTATACAGAGCTTTGTGAGGACCAACTCCATTGGTCCTGAAGTGCAAATCACCCACACTATTGGTGCAAAGTGCTTGATGTACAGTGATAGAACTTAACTATAAACAATGTGAGCAACAAGAGAGATAAAGAATTATTTACATTCTTTTCCAGCTCTTTCCCAGGCTTTTGCCTGGCGAGAAACTCCTGTTTCTCTCTTTGACTGAATCTGAGACCCACAGAGGAGGAGTGGGCTTACCAAGGAAAGGGTGGCTGTGGTAGTGGTGGTGTGAGCCTTGACTGCGTGTGCTATGAGCAGTCCTCATTTGCTTTAGAATTTATGAGCTCCATAATTTACTCAGCCTGTAACTAGAGTGGCACTGGCATGTTTTTGTTTATCTGGTCTTAGAAGTAGAAATAATTAATTTGCTGTCCCTACCAGTTGCCCTTACTTGAGGAAAACCATGCAGGATTTTCTGCCTCTCTCAGTGCCACCAGTGATAGAGAAACTGGAACCAAAAGGGAGCAAGTTATTTTCAGGGCATAAGAAGAGACAGAAATCATTTTTTTCTGTCATAACCTCATTGAGAACTGAAGTGTCTGTTTTGTGCTCTCCATTCTGGGTTGATGGCCTTCCATGCTGTGCTGTCGTGCCTGCTGAGTGCCTCTGGGTAGCACACAGTGCATCATAAGGAGCTTTTAATAGTTTTTCCTGCTTTAGAGAAAATCTCTCCCTGATGGGCACAGGTGGAGCAGGATCAACTTCACTTGCACCAAAACACAGGGTCCAGAGGTGGAGGGGGCTGTGGCTTCGAGTTCCTTCCACCCACCTGAAGACTCAGGTTCCTCCCCTCACCTGCCTGGTGCTCAGCTCTGCTTTACTGGGGCAACTATGTAGGCTACTGCTCTGCATTTTCTTTATTATTGCCTTGTTAGTTCTTTAGTAGAGGTCTAATTTCCTCTTCATTCTTCTATGATCTCATTAGCTGGTGATTTGGGGTTAATTCTCTGTTCTGCTTAATAGCAGAACCTTTCAAGAGGAGAAACTCTCTCAGATGTGCTTGTCCCTTCCCTTCTTTTTCAGAACCTGTCCCTCAGCCAGTCCTCATCGCTGAATGCAGGAATAAAAGTGTATCTGTCAAGTGTGAAGCAAAACAGAAGGCCAAGAATGAAGCAAAAGAGAAGGGAAAGGATGAAGCATTTACAATAGAACTGACTCAACCCAATGGCAAAAAAATCCAAAAGAATGCAACAGTGCTGGAATGGCACGGGTGGAATTCAGGGACGTTCCGATGCGTTGCTAAGAACCAAGTCAGTGAAAAAATGACTGAAAAAGCAATTAAATGCTCAGGTAAGAAATCTCTTTTGTCAGAATGTGCTAGGGTGGGCCACTGCTGAGGGCAGTGGGATGTGAGAGGGGTTTTGCTCCTCCCCTTCTCCTGTGGGGAAAGCTGTTGTGTTTTTCTCCTCTCCGTAATCATGTCTATTTATGTGGTGGCTGCCTGCTACCCATGGGTGTGGATGAGTTCTCTCACAAGGGAAAAAATAAGCTGCTTGGACTCTTCAGCTTGGCCTAGAAATCAGGAGGGAGGTTATGGAGGATTTTTCTTCAGGGTTACACAAGTCAGATAAGCATGGCTCAAATGTGTCATGGTGTTCCTATTGAGTTAACCACAGATGCAGCAAAAGGACTGAAAAGATTGCATTTTAAATGGGGAGAGTCATGATGAAAATGGTTCTGCAGGCAAAAGAACCAAAAGTCATCACAGTTGTCATCCTCCCACGTAAGGGTTTTGCAAATTATGGCACAAAAAAGGACAGATCACACTGGTTTGACACTGGGTGTGGTTCTCAGCTCAAAGTCCAGAATTCCAGTGCAGTGCTGGTGAAAAGTCCTTGAATTTGCCAGACTTGGGTTCGTCCCACATATCCACATGTGCTCTGCTTGAAGCATTCTCTTACTCTACATTCCTGCTGGAGCTGGTGGAGAGTTACAGGGCGGGGCTTACAAGAGCTGGCTCAGTATTTCCATTTTTTACCTATTTCTGCCACAGTGAATTTAGGGAAAGTCCAAGTTTGAAGGACAGCCTATGGTGTGAGAAGGGAGGGAGCAAGCCTTAAGGCATAAAGGCTTTACTGAAGTGATCTCAGGTCTGTTGATTCTGTCTGAAGGGCAAAGAGCTGAGGGACAGGATGGCCACTGCTCTCCTGTGCAGCTGTTGCCTCCTGAATAATCCTTCTGATTTCAAAAATGCCAAGCAATGTATTTTTTTGCTGCTGCCTGACTTGATGGACTGCACAGTCCCATTGATGTTAGCATTGGGAAGGGGTGAGCAGGATGTGTCATGGACTTTGGAACCAGGTATGAAAGTGTGCTGCTGGATTAGGTGTGTTTAAGACAGGGCAGACTATCCCAAACACCTTGTCTGGATGAGGAAGTGCTAGCTGAAGCTGCCCATGCCAGGGCACGAGCCAGGCAAGCACAGCTCTGCCTGTACTGCTGCTATGGGCAGACATCAGCCATCGTCTAGACAATTTTGATTTCACTTTTTCTCACCCTTAAGAAACACTCTTTTTTCACAGGGTGAATTGAGTTGGAGAAGGTACAAACATAGAAGTTCTCAGACACCAAAAACCCCCTAAGACCATGGAGCACTACTCTTCCTACCCAAACTAAATACCTCTCAAATTTTCTGTGTAGTGGCAAGACTCTGCCAGATCCATAGTAGATTAAAAATCCCTCATCTTGCAGTCAAACCTCCTTCTAACCCTGTGGCCCTCTGTGAACACTTGGTCCTGCATTTGAGGCCAATCACCTTGAATTTTGATCTTTACAGGCAAGGTACGTTTCAGGTGGGCTTTAGCTCAGCCAGCTTTTCATGGAAGTGTAATTATATGTGTATACTATATAATAGTATATATGTGTATAATCTGTCTGGGCTTCTCTTGCACTCATCTTGAAAAACAGGCATAGAAAAAGCAAAAGACACCTTGGTGTAATGCTGGCAATTTAAATACAGTGAGCTGGCACACATGAATGCTCTGCTTTCAATTTTCTGCAGAACTTGAATCAGGGAGCAATTAAAATTCTCAACAATGAGGAACAGCAAATTTCTGTTGTTTTCAAGTAAAAGGCAAAGAGTGGGGTCTCTACTGGTCTGCCTTTACAGTCAATGGAAGAAAATAGACAACGCTAAGTAGATGTTGTGCAAGTTATTTCTTTCCATCTAACATTCTCTTTCTTCCCCTTAACTAGGCAAGATGGACTTTTATCTCATCTTAGGCATAGCAGGAGGTGCAGTCTTCTTTGTCATCTTTGTGATTTGTCTTATTTATTGTATCAGAAGGAAGAAAACAAAAAGGAATGAAGTTTATGGTAAGTGTTTAAGAGGATTTGTTTTGCTATCCAGCAACCTAAAATATTAGAGCTTCCCACTGACAGTAGCCCTGTGGTCAGGAGCATTCTCTCTGTCCTGACATGAGCAATAACCTGGTTTTAGCATATGGTGACTCTTTGTAGATCAGCTGGCATTGCCAGGCTCGCTTTCTGATATGTGCTTTGAGAAAGCCACCTGAGTATTATTTTACATTATGGCTGTTCTCTTTTGAGTGGTACAGACCACTGCATCAGCTGTGCAGTGATACCATATCCTCAGTTCTTGGGCCTGGATTCAACAGGAATTAAGAAAATGAGTCTGAGAAAATGAGAACGAATATTTTAGTGATTATTTTATGGTGACTAACCTCTCTGAAAGAGTTTGCTATGAGTTTAAGGCAAACTCAGTGTCTCGAGAGGTAAATCCCTCAATCCCTACATTGAGTGATATTTCAGAAATGATGAGTCAGTGATCAGAAGTCAGTTGGTATGAATTTACTTCTTTGTGTGTGAAAATTAATGCTGGCAAAAGGGATCTCTGGCTGCCAGGAGTCTGGAAATCCCAGCACAGACAAAGGCAGGGCAGAGTGCTTTGGTGTTGCTTCCTGAGGTTAGATCTCTCTTTCCCTTCAACAGCTTCCAAAAGGGGACAGAGCAGCTCGGGCTGGGGGTGTCCATTGATGTCTACTGGGGCCTCCCTGATAAAGCTGGTTCCCCCAACAGACCCAAGTGCTCCAGCTACCTTGACCTCTGCCAGGCTGCTAAAAGCTTTCATGTTGGCCTGGCACGTGCAGAGAGAGGTGATTTTTGCTGGGACAGCAGGAACACCTGAGAGTGGCAGGTTAAAAACCAATATTTGGCTTTTTCTTGCTTGGGCCAAGGACATTTCTGTGTCTTTTTTACTCCTTGGTGCATGTCTGACTGCGGGGTCCTTGTGCTGTTGCAGAGGAGGAGCGAGTGATGCAGACTCTGCCCATGGACCGTGAGAATGGGATGCGGGAGCTGTCTCAGCCTCCATCCAGGCCCACCCCGAAGCAGCTGCGAGTGCAGCAGCGGCCGCTGCCCCCGCAGCCCCAGGAGCCCCAGCAGCCACGGCCCCAGCCACGGCCCCGCACGCAGCCACGGACTCCAAACCTCCCGAGACAAAGGCCCTGAGAGACATCCTGGGAGGAGGGATGCTGGTCTCTGCTCCACCATTCACTGGGAAAAGAAAGTTCCTGACAGCCAGGAGCCCCTCCTGCCCAGCCCTGTGTCATGCTCAGCTATGAAAAGGCAGCTTTCATTGCAGAAGATTAGAGACAGCACCAAACGGAGACGAGAAGACTCAAGGTGATGGGCATTCATCCCTGTGGCCATTTTTCCATGGGTGTCTTCATGTTAGGATATGGAGCACTCAGGCCTAAAACTGTGTCTTTCTGTGGTTCAGTTGTTTTCACTGCACCTTGTGGTCTTCATGCTTTTTGGATGGTTTTCACCAAGAAGAAGCTAAAGCTCTACTGAGACAAAACAGACCTATGGATTTTACACAATTTCATCTCCTGCTACACAGTAGGACAGCTCTCTGGCTTCAGCATCAAATACATGGCCTCCTGGAACAAAAATTAGTTGTATGTAATTAAATATTTGTAAGAAGTTGAAAGGATTCTTGTCATATAATGCAGAGAAAAAAATATTGAAAGTATGTGTGAGAACCTTGAAGGACCTGTGTCAGAAAAACACAAATGAGAAAGGGAGAACTTTTTCCTTTTCTTCATTTCCCTTTCTCCACTGTGTTTAGAAAAGAAACTGTAGGCTTGAATTGCAGCAGTTAGGTCAGTATTTTGTTTTTAATGAAACACTGAGAGTGATTTCTGGGAGAGGTTCTCCAGCATTGGGGTTTCAAAGAGTGGGTGAGAAAACATTCTGTGAAGCCTTTTTGTTCTGATCGTGCTACACAGCTTCTTCAGGGACAGTTTCAACTCAGTTTTCTGTGACTTTTAGGCAAATAAAACAAACCTTTATTAGTAGCATAAGTCTGTGTGGCTATAGAGACAATTTTTTTTTGCTTAGAAGAGGTCTGGTCTCCTTTGGCATGTGGAACAAAGCATTATAAACTGCCAGCCAGTAGGATTACTGGTGGCACTGTCTGAATTGTCAGGAGTTCACATCTCACGGCCTCCTGCTGAGGGCAAGGGACCATGTCTCTTGATTTTGCTGGTAACAACTCAGGTATAACCAGGGGATGGTAAGAGCTGCTGAGAGATCTGCATCCCCAAGGGAGAAGCTGGACTGCAGTAAGTGCATCTGCACCACCTTCCACGTGCTGGACACTGCTTGCTCCTCTGGGCCTTGGGGGTGTCTGCAAGTGCCTCTGCAGGACAGCTGAGGAGCTGAGAGCACAGGCCTGGTTTAGAGCAGTGTCTGCATGGGTACACTGACCCATCTGGGGTAAAAGGCAGGGCAGGTGAAGGAGGAGAGAGCTACAAGAGCCACAGAACAGGAGACATCCAGCCAGCTAGCTGATGTGTCAGGCAGAAGAGCATCCAATACCTCCTTCAGACTGGCATATCCCACAGGTGACAGGGGATATAAAACAGCCATGTTTTGTTTCTCCTGAGAAATATGACTATTTTTATTTTCTGGTATAAGGGCAAGGAGACAACTTGTCAGGCAAAGGAAGCCTCTGCCTCCTCCAGAGTTCTGTCGCTTCACTTGAACTCTGACAGTGGGAACTGCCCTGGGAGTGCCACTTGCTCTCTTGCCTTAGCTTTCAGCAGCTGATTTTTGGGCTTTTGCTATTTAAAATTGCATTAGGTAAATGTTTCATGGTTTATTTTGTAAAATACCATATGCTATACCCCTGTACTGAGTAAATAAAGAGAAGACTGGGTGCAGAGGATCTTAGCTCACAGCTGTGCTGGTACTTCAGTATCTCACTTTGATACAAAGGCGGCAACAAAAACATTTTGGTCCCTAAGCCACAGAAGCAGAGATGCAGGAGGTGTCACACCATTCTGGGAGGTGCTGGGGTGCCAGGAGCTGGTGGGCTCAAGCTGGTGTGGGTGAACACAGCTGCTCTGCCTTTCCTGTGCTGCCAGAGGTTTACTGGTGCTGCTCTGTGGTTACAGGTGTGGGGGTGCTTTCTGGGAGAGAGGAAGGATTACTGGGGCCTGAGAAAGAAGATTTATCCCTATTTGGTTTATTTACCCCAAAACACAGTCCTTGGCAGGCAAGAAAATGCTACTAGCACAGAGCATACCTGTGCAATGGAAAGCTCACCAGGGTAAAAATTATTTTTTATTTACTCCTTTTCTTTTTAGTCACCATTGTTTTTATGATGTCTCATTGTACAAGTATTGTCCACTGCAGCACATCAGGAACAAATGTGAGGCATCACAAAAACAATGATGACTATTAATGCTCCATGACACATTCAGAAAAAATGATGACTTATCAAACAAGCACCAAACAGAACTTCATTTTTCTGAATGTGTGTCGTGGGGCATTCATATCTCAGGCTTTTATGCTGTAGTGGATGTTTCAATTCTGGAAAATGAGCTGACATTGGGATCTACGACATAACAGGATGTGCTTGGCTCTGGTGGTTCTTGCTGTAAGATTTCTTGGTTCTTCTTTTGTAGATGCATCTACCACTGAGTCATGAGATGAAGCGTTTTTTCCTCTCTTCTTAAGGGGGATGAGATGAGATGATCGATGCTGGTCTTGTCCTTCTCTGCCTGCTGCCTTGTCCCCTGTTTGAGAACTGCAGTTTCTGCTGCCTGGGTATTAGCTGGGATCAGTTTTGCTTGGTGATGTGCTCCAGAGCCAGTGCTGAAGGAATGGGAGGGAGGCTCAGCCCTGTGATCAAAGCAGGTCTGTAGTTGTGCTGTGGTCCTGTAGCACTCACGAGATGGGCAGACTGAGCAGGCACCCAAAAGGGCAATGGCTGGTTCTGTGGAAGATACAAATCTTCTATCCCAGCATTAATCCATGTGAAAACAGCAGCACTTGCTGCCCAAACTTGGCCTTTCTAGTAAAGTAGCCAGAACCTGCTTGTACCTCTATTGGCCTCTCCAGAGGGAGGTTCTTAGGCTTCTGCCACAGGCAGTGTGGGATAGATAATTTAATTTCTAAACTAAAACTCTAAGTAAATAGGTCAAGTAGAAAACCATAGCTGCTACAAGCCTTTCTTGAGATGTTTGCCAAAGTGATGCCATGGGGAAAATACCCTGATTTTGTCCTTATTCTGCAACAGATATTCAGGTGCTGCAGCTACTAATGTAAGAGATCTGGCCTCAGGATTTTGGATAAGATCAGTTTGTAGTAGCTATCGATCTTGTGAGATACCACTGCTGGGCAATCTTATCTCATGCTGTGGGAAGAAAGATAAGGGTTAATTGAAGGAAAGCACAGTAAGAAGCTCTGTGCCAATGAACTGGCCTCCTGGTCTCCTCTGCCAGCTTCAGCTCAGAAAAGGAGTGCCAAACCCAACCTTTTCACTCTCTTCCCCAGCAAATTGCTTCTTCCCTCCCTGCAGATGGAAGTTTACCACAGGACCTTTTCTCATCCTTCCAGCCTGGCTGCCTTGAGCAGCAGAAGCATTGGGAGCCTTTCCCCCCACTCAGAGGTGCAGCTTCAGCCTTTACCCTTTCAGAGATGTGCCAGATCAGCTCTTGAGGGCCTCTGGTGCTTGCCCCAAACTGAAATTCCCCTCAGCTCTGCTCCAGCCCCCTCACCAGAACTGCTCTTCCTTTGTGATGAGGAGTTGCTTTCTCTCTCACAGGAACATCAGGGACACAGGTGAAGGATTTTTCCCAAAGCATGACATGGCTGCTGCTCCCCTGGACCTTCTGGTGGAGCTGGGAAGGTGTGAAAAAGGACTGTGAGCAGAAAAGAGCGGGCATGTGAGGAGCTACCTCACATAGTGATCAGTAAAGCATCTGCCAGCTCCTGTCCAGGGCTTCCAGGCTGGGGTTCAGGGGCAGAGAAGGAGGGCAGGGATCAGCTGAGCTGGCCCAGTGAATAAGCCAGGCTCTGTGCATGGGGCAGCAGGGCAGGTGAAGAGAATGGGCAGGCACAGAAATGGCTCCGTGAAGAGATGAGCTGGGTCATCAGGAAGCAAGATTTGAGTCATAACTTTGTCACACTCTCAGCCCTGGCTTGTGGCTTTTCTTTCTGTGCAGAACTCCCATCTGAAGTGTGATTTACCCTTTGGGCAGGGGCATGAGTTGCCTGTCTTGCTGGGCCTCCTCCTTCCCCCTCCTTTTTTCATCTGAGGACCAGCTTATTCTCACCTTCTGTGACACTTCCCACCATCACTGTCTATTCTAGTATTCCTTTCCTTCAAAATGCCCACTCTGAATGGTTCATTCTTCCTCTTTGAATGACACTTCAGGACCCTGCCTATGCACATCAGCCTAAGGGAGGAGAGGGGACTTCCAAGGTGTCCTCATGGTTTCAGAGCATGGTTCCTCATGATCATGCCTACCCTGAGAAACCCCTCTCTGGGTTGCTTTGCTCTTGACTGCCTTTGTCAGTGCTGTCAGGAACGAATCCTGGCTCTGGAAGGAACCTCTTGGCTGTGTTCTGCCATGGAAAGTGCACAGCCTGGGCCTGCTGCCCTTTCTGAGTCTCACTGGGCATGGAGCCCATGGTGCTGTGAGGCCCTGCTAGGGCGGTGTTCTATCCTGCCCACCTGCCTGCCACCAGCATTGACCCCAGTGAGGTGCCAGGGCCTCGCCTGCCTTTGCTTTGGCTGCTATTGTTCGACAGTTTCTGCCTCGGGTGCGTCTGAAGCGTAGTTTTGAGATAACAGGAAAAGATAACGCCACAACGGAGATGCTCATTGGTTGTGTTTCCCACACACTCTTTCTGCCTACATAAAAACAGCAGGTAAGTGTTTTGGCCTGCTGCCTGGCCTCCCACACAAATGCCTGCTTTCATTTCCAGCCCTTTGGTGTGGCATGGGGCAGGCGAGCGAGCACGGTGCAGAGGCAGAGGGGTGCGAGGAGAGACGCGCTTGGTGCTGTCACTGCTGTCCACCGAGAGGAGCAGCTCTGGAACAGCACTGCCTGCAGGCATCCCCAGCTGCATTTCCCCGTGTGCCACTCCCTGCCTCAACAGCAGTGACATGGGGACAGGCGGTAAGGCTGCTGCATTTGGACAACCTGCCCTTGTAGAGCCACAGGATGAAATGTCTGGGACTGCTGCTCTTAGCAGCTGGAATTAGGCAAACCCCTCTTCCTCTTAAAGCCAGGGTGAGCTTTCCCATGAGTAATGGCAATGAAATAAAGGCATGCTTGTTTACCAACAAGTTCCTATAGAAGGGTGCCCTGGTATCCAGCTTTTCTTTCATAAAACATGTATGCACATCACGTGCTTCCACGATGGGCTTTTTGCAAAGCCTGCGTCAGCCCCTTTCCCATTTGGCTGGCTGCCCCAAACCCTGCTGTGCTTGTTTTCTGGAGGATCCTGCTGGGCAGTTCCTAGAAAGGAACTCTGTGCCAGGGCACTGGGGGCTTGTCCTGCTCTGTCTTGGCTCTGCTCTTACTCCTGACTCATCTCACAGTGACTGGTGTGTCCTGTCTGTCCCTTGTGACTCGCCCTGCCCTGAGCAGTAGGCACATGGCAAATCAGGGAGAGCAAGGGCAGTCTGTAGGCTTGGGATGCCCCTGTCTGCCCCTTGGGATGCCCCTGACTGCCCCTTGGGATGCCCCTGTCTGCCCCTTGGGATGCTCGTATTCCTGCTGGGAATGGGATTTCTCCTCTTGTATGAGAAGGGAGTAGCTATCGGTTTGTGCTGGCACTGCTGTTTTCCTCAATCTCTGCTTTCCTGGAATTTTTACAGCTGTTGAAGGCACCACCTGAGGGAGCTGTGTCTCTGGGAATGGCTGCACAGCACCAGGCTGCACCAACAGCAAGGGCGACTGCCAGGCCCCTGTGCTGCAGACACAGCGGTCACTGCAGTGACCAATTCTAGCTGGCTTCAGTGATTTCAGCAGCCAGGGCCACTGTAGCACATGGAAGAATGAGG